AATTGCCCTTGGAATTGTTTGCGCAGCTAGGAATTCAATAAACTTTGCCTTACAATACTTTTTTGTCCTGCCTTCCCCACACTGCTTTCAAATACACTGTCTGGTCCACCAAGAAAGAAGCAATGAATTCAGAAAGGAATCTTCTTGTTCCTGGCCTAGTAGGTCAAGGATCCAATTCTCCTCAAGATTCTTGTAATTATTCATCCAGATTATAATTGGTAATTTTGATGGAGTTCTTGTTGTCAATGTAGAGTAAGTCCTTAGCAACATTTCAAATACTAGTTCCTCATTGGGAGGGGGTGAGATATCTATTGAACACTTTTCTCTTCTTCCTCTTCTTCTTGAATGGAGAGAAAAATATGGCAAGGGATAGACTGATATGATCACAGAGATCACACCAGAGAGAGTGTTATGAAGTACTTATCAAAGAGTTTTCGAATTTTATCTGCTGCTTTATCATGGTGCTCCTGTTGCAATGAAGAGGCCTTTTGCAACAGCAAACGACGCCATCAGAAATTTAGCAGGGACCATGCAGCTAAACACAATATTTGTTAGCATCTTTGAAGATTCTAATGTGGTTATTATCGATGTTGAGATTGGCTTTTGATTCAATTTAATTTATTCAGCTTTGGTGTATAATACAGACAGCCATTTATGTCATAATAGTTCTTCAAAGATCGGTCGAAGTCCATCTCACGCTCACACGGACGAGGATGCCACGGTCTTGGCTGCCATATGGTGTGCCAATCGCTCAGTTCGGTCTCGCTTGTCGTCAAGCAGCGTTTTCTGGAGCTCGGCACGAGCTGCAAGGGCTCGAATCTTGCGGTCGTAGGCAGTTGCGGCCCCCGGTACGGCGCCCTCTTCCACCGTAAGCCGACATAGGATTCCCATCTGGGTCTTGGGCTTCGCTGATGTGTGCAGGCTGCAGGCCGCTCCACACTTTCCACAGGTTTCAAAGGTGCACTTGTTACCAAAGCCAAGCTCGCCGTGCTCGGCGCGTGTACGACCGCACTTGGAACAAATCTTGCGGAAGCTCAGGGACTTCGGTAGTCCGCTGACCTTCAAAGCGTCTTTGTAGCTCTGAATGTGGCTGCGTGGAGGTCCTGATGAATAATAAGGTCTCGGCGGAGGAGGCCCAGGTGGGGGACCATATTGATTACTGTAGTAAGGTAGCCCCATGTCGCGAGAAGGAGGATAGGCTTGTGGTGGCCGAAGCTGTGGATACGGTGAAGGGTGCGGTGCGAAATGATGGAAAGCAGGAGAGGGCCGATAGCCCGGGTGTTGGTGGTGATATGGCGTATTGTGCGATGGTGGCGGTGGCAGGGAGGGCAAAAAGGATCCGTGCGAAACAGCTCGGGGCATTCCGACAGTTTTGGACGTCGGAGGAGTTCTAGATTCCAGTTTTCGGACTGGCGACTCTTCGCCTTCGATTGGAGTCGCACGAGGGCGTTTAGGGACTCCCTGAATATCGTGTTCTACACCGTCGATGCTGCTGTCCGAAATTCTAGGGTCGGGGGATATGGTGGGTGCCGAGAGCGCTTCGTCCGACTTTCGCTTAGAAAGCTCTCTTGTACGGGTTGTGTAGTCCTCGGTGAGCTTATTGCTTCTACTGCTTCCGTCCAGTAGTTCTGTCATCGCAACTGCCGCCATGATGGCAAGACGATCTTCTTCTTTTTTGGAGTGTGGTCGATTTTGTTGTTCACTCGCTGTTTCGGTCTTGGCGAAAGGAGTTTCGGGCACCACATGGGGTGATGGCACCTGGGCTTGCTTTTCTTCCTTTTGTCTTCGCAGAAGCATCTTCTGTTTCTTCATGGCCATTTTGTTCAGGGGCATGGTCTCCATTTCTTCTGCTTCCTCCTCCGATTCGGATTTGGGCGAAACCATAGTTTTTTTCGTACTTGCTTCCGTAGCTGAGCCACTCGGTGTGCTCTCTAGGCTGCTGTTGGATCCACTTTCTTCGGATTCGGAAACCGCGGTTCTCAGAACCGCACTCGGGGAAGAATGCAGCGGAGATGTCTCCTTCCGAGGTGTACAAGGCACAACCATCGGTGTTGGAGCTTGCATCGGTGTCATGCTTGGTGGTTCCCCAGGTGGGGGACCTTGCATCGGCGGCAAGTTCTTGCAGTTGATGCAACGGCAGTGAATCCCGCAATGGGCATTGTTCTGATAGCACTCGCAGTACTTTTTAAGGCAAAACGACTTGCGGCATTTGCAGCCCCATTTATTGACCCGTTGGGACGATGCTAGTACTGGTTCCTTATGTGGAGTCGTCTCTGGAAAGGGGTGTTGTGGCCTCGAACCGTACGGTGAGCTGTAGGAATAAAATGGTGGAAGTGGACCACGGTATCCCAGGGGAGGCGCCTGCATCTGTGGAGGGGGATAGCTCCCTGGGTGGCCGTGAACGGGAACAGGGCCCCGTGGATCGGGACAGGCGCTAGGAAAGGGACCCCCGCTTCGATAGCTGGTAGGGGTTGCAAGAGGTCCTGATGGCCCCGACGGAACAGAACCGGTCGTTTGAAACTTCCCCTCAAAGGCACCGGGATTCCGCTCGAGGACKCTCYTCCGGGCCATCTCAATGTCCTCWGCGTGGGCGGGGGTATTGTGGCAGTTGCTGCAACGACATTTGGGGCCACATGTAGTGGAATCGGCAAAGCACTGGCAGTACAGCTTGAGACACTTTGACTTTTTGCAGGTGCAAGAGCCGCCAGAGATGTTGTTCGATGAAATAGAACGCTGTCKTTCTTGTTGTTGATCGATAGAAGCGAAACTAGGCATTTCTCTGTTGTTGTGAAACGGGGCCATAGGMGCGTAAGTGTTGTACTTATAGTGCGGAACATTCTGGCGATGAAGAGGTGGGTTTGGTAGAGGAGAAGGATACGGTGCAAACTTGGGAGGAGGGTAGTGGTGAGAAGGAGAAGACGAGGATGCAGAATCGTAGGGATAGTACTGCTGTGGTGGGCGCCTCGGCATCGAAGCCTGAGGAGGATGCGTTGGAGATCTTCGTCCTCCGGCCGGAAGCGTGGTCTTCTTTTCGGAAGGAGAATGTCTGGAATARTGTCTTYGCGACTGGTCGCGCTCTCGTTCCTGCATGTGGTGCAGCGGAGAACCCCTCGGACCCTCCTCCGGAGCCGAGTGATTGTGAGAAAGGGATCGAGCGTGCGAGCTGCGGCTACTTCCCTCGTGTGTCGGAGATGTCGGTGTAGTTTCCCAAGTCATGTTTGTTGTTTCTTCGTTTCTTTTCGTTTCCTTTCAGTCTAGTTCAGATCAGATCAGCTTCGTTTGTAACTGCAGCTTCTACTTAAATTCATTCCACAGACAAAAGGATGGCTTCTACAACGATAATACGGGTTCTATGATCTTCACCGAAGGCAGAGACAGAATAAAACCAGAGCAGATTCTGTTGTGAGAGAGCACGGGAGGAGTAAGAGTACCGGCAGGATTGCTTCTTTCTAAGGATTGTGTCGTTGAGGTATGTGTATTTCTGTCGTCTCCGTGGACACCGGCAGCACCTTACGAACCAAAAATTCCACTTCGTCTTTCTCAGTAGCCCAAAATTTGGCATGCTTGCATCAAAAATATTGCGCGAGCACAAACGCGACCAAACAAAACCAAGGAACGGATGGCGGGGAGGCCTAAATGTAAATTTAAATTCCGGTTTGTTCGGGAATTCGGCTGGCAGGTGCGTGCCAATATAAAAAACCTATGCACATGCCCGACAAGTTGTGTATCCTGCCGGCCTTTGATACAATCCGATAGTGTTTTCGGGATTTTTGGAGAACGATTTTCGCGATTGATGGGTCACACTCCCCATGGCGGCGAAAAAATGGACCAAATGTCCTATGTAATATTTTTTCAAATTTGACCAAAAATCCTCCTCACAAAATTCCCGCCTAGAAAATCTAGTCGCGTTTCTGTGGAGATGTGTTTATTTTTCGACCGCGTGATATGCAATTTTTTGTGCGTGCGTATTGTATTTATTCGAGTCCTGAGTTGGTAGAGCACGAATACGTAATACCGTAGTTCAGTACGGTGCGTGCGATACCACCATCTTCTCTTCCATATTACTAGTAAAAGAACCGGGATGGAGGCTGGTACATTGTGTTATTGCCGCCAAACGGGCATTGAAAGTGTCTGGTCTGCTCTCAACGGAGATCGTACCCATTCGTGCAACGGAACTTGGAATACGAGTGCGTACGAACTCCTTTTAAATGCACTTGTACTGTATTACTTCACGAATGATAATCATACGGTACGGAAATAGAATAAAGGAGTACAATACGGTAGGATACGTAACATTGTCATTATTTTCCACTCCCGTACCGGCACATTACCGTTCGTTTGTCATTGGCACTCTTGCCTTCTGTTCTGTTGTGAAAACAGCAAGATGATACTCTCCACATACCGTACGGTACGGGTACCGTGCGATGCCTGTGTATAATTGTGATACCAACGAGAATGCAACGGCATTGCGGACCATGCAGGGTGGCAGATACGAGCACGGTTGACGAACGACTGCCGCATGGTAGTCAAAGCCTGGAAAATAGAAACTACTTATGCAACATCTTCAATGAATGTGCATTCGCAATAGTGTGTCGATCAAGGCCGTGCACGAAAGCGCCCATACTACTACGTACTTCTACTTTTTAGTTCCTGCCTGTTCCAGACGTTTGCTGTGTTCTTCGCTTCCAGGCAGGAAATCAATCAAGCCCTCTCTGCTCGAGCAATTGGATGCGATAGCTCTTGCTGTAGTAGTAGTACTAGTRGTAGTCGTCGTAGTTTTCAATCTATGGTGCACAGGTTCTTGTTGGCAGTGTTCAGATCAACAATCAACAAAGAATCTTCTTGCAGTACTTGGGTACTTCAATAAATTCGATTACGTTCTAGTAGTAGTAGTACTATTAATACTAGTAGTAGTAGTGATCTCTGTAGAGCCTAGTAGGAAAACTACGTTGACATGCAGAACCCGTTGAATACGCTCAGCACCGGACGGTTCGTCTCACCCCGCCTCCTCTGCTGTAGTATTTTCAGTTGGAGACCGGTACGGCATCGGGAATTCCATTCGCGAGGCAACAAAGACAAGGATGAACAGCGAAGCTACCGGTACCCACCGCTGCCGGCATCGCAGACAGCAACGCCCATTGCTACAAGCAAGCACGAGGGCCAGCGCGTTCGGGTTCTGGTGCGTCGCGCTTTGTGTCTGTGTCTGTATCTGTAGCAGAAGCGGGAACAATCGCCACGGAATGGTTGTGACCGGGTTCTCGTCAGGGAGAGCGACATCCTGGCACGCGGGATCGACCGCCGAGAGAGCGATCGGCGGATTTCACGGCAAAACGAATCGCAACGTCGCCGGTTCCCCCGGTTCCCCGCTGCGCTCCGCTTCCGGGCGGGACGGCGGGAGGGATGCTCCTCCCGCCCCCCACCGAAACCACCTCGACGCGATCCGCCGCGACGAAAAGGCGCTGAAACACCGCTTCTTTGCCCTCCGGCACGGCCAGTCCCTGGCCAACGTGGCCGGTGTGATCGCCTCCGATCCCGACGTCGCCTGCCAAAAGTACGGCCTCTCGGAGGAGGGGAAAAAGCAGGCGAAAAAGGCCGGGGACGGGCTCGTCCGGGACTTTCTGGCCGCCCGCGCCGCCGACCCGTGCCTGCGGGGGATCGCCGTCGTGGCCTCGGACCTCCTGCGCGCCAGGGAGACGGCCCGGTTCGCGGCGGACGCCATTCGCTCKCACAACCGGAGGCAGGAAACCGACGAACGCGAAAGCRAAAGCATCCCCCTGTATTCCGGTGCCGTGGCCACCGACACRCGCCTCCGGGAACGCGGTTTTGGAGAGTGGGACGGCGGGAGCGACGCGCACTACCACGACGTTTGGAAGGACGACGCACGGGATCCGTACCACACGATCAGGGGCGTCGAGTCCGTGTGGAGCGTCACGGACCGGGCCACGGACTGCGTCCTGGACTGGGAGCGGAGGCTCGGGGACGAGGGCGGTGGCGGCGGTGACGGCGACGGTTACTACTGGGTGGTGTGCGTGGCCCACGGAGACGTCCTGCAGATCCTGCAAACGGCCTTTCACGCCGACCTCGATCCGTCGCAGCACCGATCGATGGAGCACCTGGAAACCGCCACGCTGAGGCCCCTCGAGCTGGCTTGACGACCGGGATCAACCAGAACGAAGGCACCGAGCTCCCCCTTTTGGTGTTCGGCTGGCTCCGGTAGTATGTCTGCAGCAATCCGACAAAGGGCAATACAGCGAGGGCTCATGAATAAGGAAATCAATCGCCAGCTACAGATACAGATACTTCATGATGGACTGCTCTCGAATGCCACCGATGATCTTTGAACGAAAAATGAATTTCAAATCGTCTCGAAAGTCATACTCGTTCTGCTCTGCAGAAAGATACGTTTGGAAAACGAGCGAACCAACTACTTGAAGAACGATTTGATCCCTTCCGACATCAGTTAAGCCATGGAACATTGCATTGCCTGGCCTTTCTGTTTCGTTTTTGAACTTTTACCGTGGAATCTACGTACGCTTCTCCAAGTACGAAGTACTTCTTAACGATAGACTATTCAAACCATTGGATTCAATCTGACACACTATTATAATTTCAAAATCGTCTTTCACAAAACGTCGATTTTGCCATATCACTACGCAGATTTTTACAACTGCCAAGACCTGGTCACGTTACGCGAACAACTTCTCCACTGTTTCGTAAACCTGTTCGATGCTCTTGGCCGAGTCGATGTTGTGCAGGGGTGTTCCCTGCGTTCCAAAGTAGTCCAGAATCGGCACCGTGGATTCGACGTGCGTCTTGAATCGTTTTCGGATCACCTCGATTTTGTCGTCGGAACGTCCCGATTCCTTTGCGCGTTCCAACAGCCGTCCAACCCTGCGCCATACCATTCATTTGGGTGCAAAGCCAAGCGCATTTCATTTTCATGGCGTCGGGAGAGATTTCGCGTTGATTGTGCGTGCGATCGGGGTGCATTGGATTGGTTTTCAATGATCGGATCGTTTCCAGAAACAAAACAAAACAAAACGTGCAAAATCAGTGTGAGAGAATCTGCGTAAACAAACACACGGGTAAACCTCGATGAAATGAGCCAATCGTAACCGTCCGCATCGTCGCCGACCTGTGGTACCATCCCTCCACTGCCCAGGCGCAAAGCCAGATCGCTGCAGCATCCTGGGACGAGGAATGAACCCAAAAAAAAACGATCCAATCCGATCCGAACAAATTCATTCATTCCGCCACGCCAAGGATGCACCAGAAACGTACAAGACTTCTTCTGGGCACTCAAAATTCAGAACAAACTTGATGGTGTGGACCGCGCCCATGGCGTCCTCCCAGGCCGACATGTTCTCGTGGCTCCTCGGGAACCCGTCGATCAAAAAATGCGTGATCGAACCCTTGGATTCTTGGTGGGCAGCGGCCATGGCGTTTTCGAGCAACTTGACCGTGATCGAGCTGGGAACGATTTCTCCGGCCTGGATCTTGGACCGGATCAGGTCCGCCATGGGCCCCGTTCCAGCGTCTCGTTCCGCCCGCAACAAATCTCCCGCCGACAGGTGTTTCCAGGTGCGATTGAGTTCAACGTCCACGAGACGATTTTCCAGTCGCTCGCACTGGGTTCCCTTTCCGGTTCCCGGGGCACCTAGGACAAAGACGACCTCACAGGGGGGAAGGGGTGTGGCGGGTGTCGCGGAAATTTTTGCTTGCTTTCGTTTGTGGCGGATCATAAGAGCGGCAGTTCCGAGGAACAACCCCCAGGTTAGAGGGCAGCGAGATCCCATCGTGATTGTTTGCTTGTTTTCTTCTTATTTGTAGTACGTCTCCGTACTTTTCTTCTTCGCCGATTAATGCGGTTGATGACGCTCCGTTGTTTCACAGGTATTCGTAGCTAGGTTTGCGCCTTGGTATTCCTCCTGCAAATAGCTTGTGTGCGGTTATGTGAAAGAGATGTTTTTGAAGCACGGATGGTTTTGAAAAAAAAAACTCTCCTTTCAAAATTCTCTTCATAAAAAATGACTGATTCATTCCTTCGAACTACAGCAACAATAGCTGTTAGGTACGTAATGTACGTAAGAGTAAGGAGTACATACGTACGTTCGTATGAATGTACTTAGTTCATACGTATTGTTATTACTACATGCTAACATAGTACAGTACGTACCGTACGTACAGTACGAAGTAGTATGATACTGTACGTCGCTGGACGTCGCTATTAGAAAAGTTGCTGACTGACTCCATGCGTCATCATTCGTGAGAAGAAAAAACCTACAGCATTTAAGTACAAAATCGAAATTCAA